TACACGAATCAGTTTTGTTTCTTTTAGATGTAGCACTTTTTTATATTAGTTATTGAAGTAAAGATATTCAACTATTCATATTAATTAAGCGGCATGTAAACTCATACACAGATCTCTCTCGGTGTGGTTGCCTCGAGAGGAGATGCATTGCATCTATCTCGATGTTAGTGAACAGTTGAATATCTTTCATTTCATTATTCAATAATTGAATTCAACTTTCAGATTTTTCACTATTGATTTTTCTGCAAAAGCACAAGTTTATGGCCTAACTTAAGTTATAGTCCTTCATCATCGTCATTACTCAGTGTGATCTACTTTTCATTTTTCATGTCTAATAATAAAATAATGAAAGATAATATTATTTGTAATTTGTTTTTATTCCATCTACCTTTATCAATACTTATTTCAAAACTTCTCTTTCAAGAATAGTTCTTTTTCATCTGGTATTTTAATATATGTTTTGGATCTATTGATTCAAAGTTACTATCACAATCTGAACAATGTGATAGAATTTGTTTGGTGATCCATGGTGCTATTAGATTAATTCGAAGTACAAAACAAGATCCTTCGTATATTAATAGTACACATTTCTTTTTAGCAGAATCTACATATTTAGCTAACATTGTAGACCCTCTCACAACTCTTAACAACTTTTCTTAAACAGAAAGTAAATTAACTCAATTATATTCATGTATCATTATAATTATTTAAGTTTCGTTTGAAATAGGAAACTAACGAATACATTTTGAATTTCAATTACCAATCTTTGGTATAACGAAAACTTTGAAAGATAACAGTAACATTCGGTTTAATCACTTGCTACTGAAAGTCATTGTCATTCAGTTGAAAAAAAACAGAGCCCTCGCTTGAAAATCATCATTTTGTGGGACTAATTTCGAACGAACGGAACTTCATATTCGATTGTCAAAAAAATTGATCATAGTGGGATCTGGAATTCTGTAATCAGACTACAAGGAAAATCGTACAACTCTCCAAACTTCAGATAATAATAACACAAATTAGCGATTTCGAGTTATGTGTCACAAAAGAAACTTCCGAGGACTACGTAAATGTTGTGCTTTGCATTGCATTAACTGAATAGGGTAGTAAATAAAATTTTTCTTATAGCTTTGTCTTAACTTAAGAGCCATTGCCTGTAAGAATCACGGACTTTGGAAAGTGTGGGTGTGGGTGTGGGTGTGGGTGGGTGTGGGTATGGGTGTGGGTGTGGATGTCTATTGACAGGAAAACTACACCCACACCCACACTCCACACACCCACACACCCACACCCACACGCACACGCACACTCACACTCACACCCACACCCCACCCACACCCACACCCACACCCACACCCACACCCACATACATCATCGAAAACCTAATTGCGTGTCACAGAGACAATTCTTACTCCGCTCAATTTTTTATTTTACCAATAAAGAACATACGTTCTTTTCAAATATGATAAGACATCCAATACTGATACGGTTCTTGTCCTCCATTTTTACACGAGAAGAAAAATGCTAAACCCTTTAAGTGTAAAATGAGAAGAAAAAAACAGCAAACAGAACAACAAAATGACCAGATTATGTATTACCAGAGAGAGGAAGAGCAAACAATCTCAGAGGGTGGGTGTGGGTCTGGGTGTGGATGGGGTGGGTGTGGGTGGCTGGGTGTGTGGGTGTGGGTGTCTATTGACAGGAAAACTACACCCACACCCACACCCACACTCCACACACCCACACCCCACCCACACCCACACCTGCAGAATCCACATGGACAAGAATAGAACAAAATACTAGCTATAGTTTGGCAAATGTAGCTTTTAAAAGAAAAATTCTCTGTAGAACAAATTACTTAGTTTACACTAGATATGACATGATACACTTGTCATCGCTCTATCGCCATATTTACACAAAGAAATTTTTTTGAACTGCAACATTAGATCATGGGAATAATGTTTCTGAAGATAATTCTCAAAGATTATTGCTAGTTTGTGAACTTTCTCCCAATAATATAGTGTTGCAGTTCAAAAGAATTCTTTAAGAAAATACAGAGCTGGAAAGTTGACAAGCGTGTCATGTTATATCTACCCTAAAGTAAATAATCTGCTTCTTAGAAAGTTTTTCTTTAAAAAAGTATTATTTATGAAAATGTAACCCGCAGTTTCTTCTATTCATCCAGGTGGACTCTGTTTTTTTCTTAATAATTCACGAGAAAAAGAATTTGATTTGTTAATTATATGTAAAATTTTGTCCAGCACTCACTTGGAAAATCAAACATTGGAAGATTCGCAGAAACTTTATCTATATGAATTGTTTCTAGTTTAGATTGAAGTACTTTAACGAATTGTATTGACTTCGTACTTCAGGTATCTATGAAAAATGGTCAAATAAAAGTGCTGTGTAAATCTTTGACAAGGAAAGAACTTTGATGCTTTTCACTGTCGTTTTTTTTGCACAATCATTACAAATGACATTACTAGTAATCTCCATAGAGTTCGGCTAATTAATAAAAGAAGATGTCAACAACTGTCTATTGACAGATTATCATTAGTGTCAACGATTGTTAACCTTTTGCTAAGATCATCACCTTCTCTCGTTTCATTAAATTGACATAATTAAGTTGTGTACAAGTCCTTGAAAAGATGTCAAACTCTGTTGTTACATTACATTGCCAACTTCTATAACAATTGAATTTGTTTTTCAATAATATTTTTCTCAAACAAATCTAAGAAGAAAAAGCTAAAAACCAAACACATCTAAAAAAGTTTTTATAACTTGAAAAGTTTCTATTTCTCTATGATTTTGAGCTATATGGACTAAATTCTAGTTAAAAAAAAATTCACCACAATGTAACATCTCAAAAGTTCAATGGATGCCAGTCTTGGTAAAATTTTTCAGAACAGTTCTTGATTTTTGTTTTCAAGAAAACTTGAAAATTGACATTTTTTCTAAAATAGAGTTTTGCAAGAACGATCAGTGTGGCAGATTATCAAGCACAATCTCCAAGAACCATGCATGAACTGAATTATTTTTGCGTTACTTATTCACAGTATGACAAAGCGTAGATATTTACCAGGAAAAAACAATTCAAAAACTATTTTTCATCGTTGTATAACTGTTAAATAGTGAGAGTGACCAAATTCTAGAGTCTCGTTCACAAGTAGCTATATTTTATAACAAAATCCAAGAGTAAATTCACTACAAAACTAATTATTCAAGGTCTATTATTCATTCTACTTCTAATATAAAAAATTTAATGAAAAGTAGAAAAATGATATAGCTTGATGGTGAAGTTGGAAGAACTTTTTTTAGAGGTTTTTGGTTTTAAACATCTCCTTCTTCTCAGATTTGTTCTGAAAAATATGTCTCGTGCAAAATTTATCGTTCAGATATTATTCTTTCTAACAAAAAAAAATTATTGGTTCAGAAGTTAGCAATATGATATAGCAATTTGACATTTTTCCAAAGACTTTGGCACCTATTATTAATTAAACAAAATAATGCATAGATTAGACATAATACTCAAAACTTTTTTTGAGTGAATGAACCATGGTACTGGGAATCAGATAAAACTTGCAGTATATACAGATCTGAATGTCTCTCATTGGATTTCAATAAGCATCAGACGATGTACTGTTCTCGAGATTATCGCGTCAAAACATATGGTTTGTGGATACAGAATTAGTAAAAGAATAAAATTTCGACTGTTCAGTATCAAGTGCTTCGTATCATAATTATTCAATTTGCTGGTGGACGAATGCCTGGTAATGCAGGATCGCGAAGAAACAATATATATATGTAAAGAAATTTACAAATATTTAGTTTCAAACGGTGTTGCTTTAGTTTTCTGTAAGGCAAAAGCTTATTGAATACAAGTGCTAATGAATAATAAAATTTAATATTCAAATGTTCTTTATATAACTCTGTCTTGATCTTATCATGTAAAATAATCTTAAATTCACCTAAGTCTGCTTTGGAAGAAAATAATAATTTTCGAGCACTTATTATCCTAGATTATCATTGTCTTAATTAACAATAAGAATTTGTTTGTTTTTCACTATAATCCTAAATCTTATGCAAATAAGATTTAGGATTATTATATATAGAGTCATCTGTCTGATAGAAACATTAAAACAGAGAACATTTTACTTCAGTGCATTGATGTTTTCTTGTTTGTTCATTTGAAATCTTAAGTCTTGCCTCCCCCTCCCCTTTCCCCCCTTGAAAAAGGTCAATTTTCGTTCAGCAAAGTCTAAATTGAGGTAAATATATGGGAAGATAGATCGAGGTCTGACCTTTTATAAATGACATGTTTTCTTTTTTTTTTACAACTCATGTTTTGCAAAATTTTTAATTGACTTTCATCACTTTCTGCTTGAAACATATGCTTTATTTTTAGGAAAAGCGGGAAATCGTTCTGGCTTTTTCTCTGTTAATGCTTTTTCTGATAATATCTCAGAATTCTTGACTAAGCTTCGTTGTCAGTAACCGTTTTTTTTCTTTTTGAAAGAGCATCTCAAGATGCAAGTCATCACAGATTCAGATTTTTTTTTAATTAAGTTATTTTTAGTATTATAGAAAGAACAATTTTCTAACTAGAATGTCATGTCTTGAGAGTTTTCTGAGACATTGAACCGTGCATCCTCTTTCACTACTTAAAATGTAAGAATTACAAAAAAAAAATCTCTCTCATATTCTGCATTCTGACATGTTCTTTCTAGCAAAAAGAAACTAAGAATATAAAATGAAGACTTACAAATTTTTCTTTTTGGTCGATAAATGAGCTGTTACTGATCCTTGTTTGTTAAATATCTTTCGAAAATGCTACAATTTAAAGTTGTAAATTTTACTCTAACTCCTCGACTACAGTCTCAGTACATTTCAAAAAATTTTATGTGAGTTGAATGTATGTCATCTAAGCTTGATTTTTTAATGAAAGGTTTGGTCTTAAAAGAAACACACTTATAAAATTTATTTATATTACATATAAAACAATGTCATTTACAACAGACTTCATTTCTGCATTGGATTTAGCCATTCGTTACCTTAATATTTCTGCTGAATCATTTGTTTTTATTTTTGGTATAATTGGTAATATTCTCAACATCATTGTTTTCATAAGTTTGAAAACATTTCGTACAAATCCATGTGCTTTTTGTCTGCTCATATTATCAATATCTGATAGTGGCATGTTATTATTTAATACATTGCCAAATATTTTTGTGAACATCTTCAAAGTTTACGGCGACGTGAATAGCATGTTTCCATGCAAAATATCAATAGCTTTTGGACAAGTATTCGGTTTAATGTCACACATGATTATGTGTGTGGCTGTTATCGATCAATGTATGTCAACATCAATGTATGAACGACGTCAAGGTATCAATCTCAAATTGATGCGATGCTTAATTGTTATTTTTATATTTGTTTCTATTTTACACGGCATTCCATTTCTTGTTTTTTATGATTTCCAACCATTACCCGGAATAAATGCGACGGCATGTGTTCCCAAAAATAAAGATGGACCGTTTGCTAAGTATGCCATATATATTAGTTTTCCTATCATTCAAGGTTTTATACCTATTTCCATCATGAGTGTATTTGGTCTGATGGCTTTTCGTAATGTTCGTACTATGTCCAAAAGAAAAGTATCTATTATACGGCTACGTTTGGAACAACAATTAACAGCAATGGTGTTAATAAGAATTCTTAGCGTTTGCATCACTGTAATTCCATTTCTTATTGTATACGTTATTCGATATATAATATCATCGCGTATCAATAATCCTATTGTTCAAAAACAATATCAATTAGTTAATCGTGTCTTTACGATTCTGTTCTTTGTAAATTATGCAGTAAGTAAAAATAGTGTACCATCCTTTTTGTCATGATTTATTTAATTTATATTCTTCTTATTTTAGGTTGGTTTTTATATTTTTCTTTCAATTTCTGCACGATTTCGTCGACAATTGAAATTTATTCTATTCGATGTATATTTGAAAAAGTGGCGTGCAAAAAGAAATGCTAATCGAATTCAACCTACTGAAAGAAGTTTTGTGTTTCCAATTAGTAATAATTGGGAACATTATTAAAATAACAACAAATGAAAACAATGAAAAACGTTCGTATTACTAGTCTTATATAATGTTTTCGTGATTGTAATTATAAAATAAATGACCTATTATTCGTTGAATAAAATTGATATTCTACACTATTCACAAGCGAAACAAAATTTTATGATAGTATAATTTTTCTATATGAATTTCTATTATAACAGGAACATGCTAAAGCTCAACGACGTCTCATTCATTTTGTTATTTTATTAAATTAAAGATAATATAAACTGAGCAATGCATCATTATTTGCAAAAACTCTCCATAAATGATCAATACATTGGATAATATTCAAATGAAAATTTCTCTAAACAATTTGTTTACAATTAATCATTGTTTTAGTAATGAAATAAATCAGTTGTAGATTTATGTTGCTTGATCTATTTCTCTTTAAAATAAAGCTTATATAGCAAGATGTTCTAGTAGACTATTTTATCAGTAAAAATTCGTCATCAGGAAAATTCTATTGTAAAATTTGATTTCACAATCATTCATAGAAATAAAAATGGGTTGTCTATTTCGTTCACTGTCTAAAATTATCCATGTGAGCTTTTGAACTTCTTATAGTACAAATAACTTTTTCACTCTATAAATAGTCATCTAACATAGGAAAGAATCATTTTCTGTCTTATGATATCTGCACTTAAAATTTCAATTAATAATGATCGCAGTCGCAATCGATAACACTTTTGAACAACACAAAGAAAAATTATTCTAAAACATCATTATAATAGAATAAAACGACATAATAGCCCTTCTTTTTGAATAATGTATTATTCTCTTCGACAAGCAATTAATGAAAACAATAAATCAATTTCTTTATAAAATTAAAATTTTGAGTATCTTTTAAGCAATTTTTCAAAACTCAAACAAATAAAAATAATATTGTAATAATTGCGTTGAATTGAATAAAACATGCAAATTAAATATTTTCCCTAGATTGCAAGAATATTATCTAAAAACGGGAATTCATTTGCGTCTGTCTCTCTGGTTCTTACAATTTTGCACTGAGTAACTATGATTCAATTGACAACAGAGAAGATTATAAATATTATATCTAACCGCGACGATTGACATTAACCGACGAGTGATATACAAGGACGAGGAGTACAAGACCCGTATAAATTCCATATTGCACGGAATACAACAGTATTTTTCTGTACTACACAATTCAGTATTACGACTGTATTTCTTCGTCTTGTATAAGAAGATATACGACTGTTTAAGGCGACCTAATGAGTTAAACGGAAGTTGTTTACAAACTCTCTAAACTATCGTATTTCTTGTTGTCACATAAGCAGAAATACAATCGTAATATTCAGCTACGTAATACGCCAATATACGACCATTTACAAGAGTTTCCGAGTGTGTTTGTTCCATCTGGAATATCTTTGGAAGTGACGAACATTGATAAATGATTCAATCCAATGAAATTATTGTTTAATAGTGTATTAATGAGAATGTGATTGATTAACAAGTAAAAACTTGATACATGAGTTTGAATACATAATTAGGATAAACAAAAATCAAATTCTTTAAAAAAAAATATGCTATACTTTTATTTTCTAATAGAAATAAAAAGTTCATTGTATCAGCACAGTTCTCTTTGTGTACATTTATCAAGTCTTTAATGATCATACAATAACAAAAATATAAATAACTAATAAGGAATATAACAGAACGATAATATCTAGGTAATAAAATGCATGACCTATTAATGTTATATTCAATCCAATCTATTTATTCTGAAATATCATCAAAGCTAATTTCTAAAGCATATACTATTTAGTCAATCATGGATTTTTATTCTGATAAATTAACTACCTATTTCGTAATGAAAAAGTTTGTGTTGATTGAAACTTTCAGTTAAAATTTCTCCAACTTCAAGCATCAAATCTTTAAATGGATGAAAGATTATTTATAATCGCATATTATTCGTACTAGCTGTACTAATTTGTCAGATATACAGTAATAAACAAAATTTTTTGTACAATTTGATTTTTAGTGTGATTCCGTTAAAAAAGATATCTTTTGACAAGTGGTTTTTGCTTCATAGTACAGGTATTATCTGTATTATATTCGTACAAAAATTGAGTCTTACCTGAACTGCACTGAAAACAGTCCGAGATAATTACTTTTTCGTCTACGAAATTCGTCTCACGATTTTCAAATCAAATTATTTTTCTCTGAAAATGTTTAAGCTCTCCCTTAAAAATCGATCTTTGACAAAGTACATTGAAAACACATCAAATTTTCAGAATATGTTAGGGCTATAGTGGAGAGGCTATGATAAAATTTTCAGTCATATATAATGATATTTCAAGAAGTTATTCAGTAAACGAGGTCAAAATTAGCTCATTTGGCAACAAAACAAAAATCTTCTTTATGCCTTGATTCTATTTTCTTAGTTTTTTCTTTTGTTAAAAAAAGCATTTCCTGATGTAGAGCATGGCAGAATGCTTTTTTTAATTTTTACTTTGTAGGCGGAGAAAAAGGATGAAAAGTTTTATATCTGGAACAGCTTCAAAAAAAAGTAGCGCGCTAATTTTATATGATACCGACAAAGCTTAATTCAAAAACGGACTGTCATGTCATAAATTTTTGCATACTTTTTCAAACAAAAATGCAACGATTAACAATAGTGAAGTTTCTTTAAAAATTCTGAAATCCACAATTTGAACATTATAAGTAGAAAAATGAATAAATATGTCGTGTTTTTTTTTCTGAAAAGAGAATATTTTTGAAGTAGATGATGATAGAAATCATTAACAATGTGTTGAAAGAACGAGATGTCAAATAAAAAGTCATATAGTTTATGAAAAATCGGACCTCGAGCTATTTTTCTATGTACTTATCTTAATTTGGATAATTCTGACGAAGATTGACTTTTTCGAGGGAAGCTTGAAAATGAAAAACAATCTATATGGACGAATAGAAGAGAATACATGCTATATTTAGGGATATAAAGCAACTGACCTAATTTACAGTCGATATGACATGACACACATGTCAACACTCTATCTTCATACTTAGATAAAGAGTTAACAAATTTATATTGTCATATCTATTGTAGAGTAGGCAAGTGAATTCTATTTTCTTTTTGAACATTTTCAAAAAAGAATAATTCAATTAGAAACTCGTGCGAAAAATTTTATCCACCAGTATATGTAGAATATGAATACAGAAAAAGCTCGTAGCAGATAATCTATCAACAAATACAGATAATAACCATACATATATGTAATAGATGTTCGATCTATTCTGTTTCATTATTTTGGATCCATGTTAGAATATCAATTGTCGTGTTTACTGTATTTTTGTCAAAATTTTGAATAACTAAATATTTATTTGAATACGTCCTTGACTATCGTATGTTACGTAACTACATGAAATATGCCTTAATATATTTTTTTCTGCAAATCAAAAAAAAAAGAAATTTATCAATGACCAATTATGATTTTATGATGCATTATAAAATGAACATACATAAATTGTTTATTATAAATGCGGTAAAAACATGTGCTTTTAAACTAAATTCCGTTCAAAAACATAATTATAAAAAAAAGAAGATATTTATGGATTAGCACATGTTATTTATTAATATAAAGAAAAAAAAACAGAATTCATAGAAAATATTGTGAATCCGGACTACCAAAACCAGCAGTAAATGACAATATCAGATATTTATAAGATATATATAACGGGTTTGCTTCTAATGTCATAGAAAACATTGATGATATTCGTTGAAAGTATCGTTTTGGTCTTGTAAAGAAAAACAAAATTTCTATCGATGTTTTCTTAGTAAAGATAATCATTAAAAATATATAGCTAGTGTATTAAATAATAGAACACAATACTAATTTTTTTCATTGACAAATGTTTGTAAAGTTACATATTAATTTAATCAAGACATCTACATTGAATTGCTGAATTCTTCATGTCTTGATTAATCTTAAATAATAAAAAACAAAAATAATTATTCATTTACAAGAGTATCAAAAGCTGACTTACTAATCTTGACTAGATAGTTATAAGTAAGACGAGAGAAAAATCTAGATGAAATTAATCAAGCGTATCAACGTTTCTTTACGACATCTAGTCTTCAATAATACTAATAAGAGTAGAGGCCACTGCCAAGTGATGTTGATTTTTTATTAAAAAATTATTTCTTACATGTGATTCAATTAATAAAAAACAAAAAAAAAAAAAACTAATTATTAATCATGGTTTTTAGTATGTAAAAATTTGTTGAGTATCAATCATTGTTGTAATTTACATATGTTTAGTTACGGAAAGTTTAATTCGTAAACGAGCTGAACATAATGAAGGACAATTGTCAACACTTGAAGAAGTATCACTTCATCAACAAGATATTGAAAAGTAAGATTTTTTATTTTTTTATTTATAATAAAAATTTTTGCTAATTTATAGAATTGAACATTTGGATAAATGGTGTCGAGAATTACGAATACTTTATTTACAAAGCAATCTTATATCAAAAATTGGTAGAATAATTTTTTGAATTTAATTTTTATTTAATATTTATTTTTATTTTTATTTTTAAAAGAAAATGTTAGTCGATTAAAAAATTTAGAATATCTCAATTTAGCATTAAATAATATTGAATATATTGAAAATCTTTCTGGTAAATAAAAAAAACAAAACAAGAATTAAGTTAAAAATTTATTGAACAATATTTAGGATGTGAATCATTAAATAAACTTGATTTAACATTAAATTTTATTGGTATATTATCAAGTGTTGAAAATCTTCGTGATAATATTCATCTTGCAGATTTGTAAGTTATATAATATTATCTAGAAAAATTATTTATGATAATAATCTAGATATTTAACTGGTAATCCATGTGTTGATCATGAAGGTTATCGTGATTATGTTATTGCTACATTACCACAATTACAAGTTAGTTTGTTTTACAATAAAAGTGATGTGTCATTGATTTTTGTTTTGTAGAGATT